GAGCTTGGTTGATAACTTTATTGACGCCTTTTTCTTATTAAAAAGAAATGACTTTTTTGACTCTTTTTTTACTTCATTATTTTCTCATATTAATATGGCTTTATTCTCATAATAATTATCAAATTTATTTTTTAAATACACATTTTCTCCTCTTTATTTTAATACATTCTCCGAATATCTCCACTTAAGTCAGAAAAGATGACCTCCCCACCCACAACATTTTTTATTTTCCTTCAAGGCCAGATTTCAGTAAGAAAACAACAATCTACAACTGAGATGTTTTCATCCTCATAGAGTCACTAAAACTGTCATATTTTTGTCTCTTAACATGCAGAAAGCTATTCAAAAATCTATTTTACACTATTATACATATCCTTAAAATGCATAAGAGAGATTTCTGAAATACAGTTTCTGTGAGTCATGTCTTCAGTTGTCAGCTTTGAATGAATTAATGATTCCATAAAGCTCATATTTTCTTTCAAAAAGCTACTACTCAGGTTTCTGCTGGGACTCCTGGTTCTTACAAATGAAAATAAAATCAACAATTATTGGGATGTCACAGAAGGGCCTCAATGCCCTCTGCATGAGGAATGGCGTCTCTTCTGCTCTCTGTAATCACTCTAATGCTCGAGCATTTCTGTCATCAAATAACCACTTTAGCCCTCCGTTTCCATCCTTTTACTCAAGTCTTCCCCTTACATTTAAGTGCCGATGTCACTTTAGCCGTTGTCGGTTGGGAAACGGTAGCCTGCAGCAGTCTGCAACAGGAGCCGCAGCCATCTGTGGCCCAGCAATGAACCCTAATTTAAAGTCACTCACATCCTTTCCTCTTTTCATTTTGATGCAAAATTAACTGGGTGTGCTCGGCATGTTTATTAAGTCCAAAGATGGGGGATTGGACCCTATCTATTGTGTCGCATGAACAAGGACACCTTTAGCAGGGGGAAAACATCTGAATATTTTTATTCTAAATCAGAATTGGGGGTGAGAGGGGGAGTGCATTTATTTGTTCTCTCTCCTTCTGGTCCATAACAGTTAAGTCTGACTGGACATTGCAGACATTGAGTGATTATCTGAGGTACTGGTGCATTTATTTCAACTCAAACATGTCTTCCAATTCCCCTCTGACCTCTGGCATCAGCAAGGCATATGCACCAATAGAACTGCCATTCTCTGGATATCTTCTTTTTTTTTTTTTTTTACCATTCTTTGTAAACCCTAGAAATTCCATTAGATCAGTCATTTCTGAAATACTTTGTCCAGCCCATCTTGCACCAACATCCATGCCACGTTTATGGTCACGTCACCTTTCTTCCCCATCGTGATGCTCGGTTTAAACTCCACCAGATCGTCTTGACAACGTCTACATGCCTAAATGCATTGAGTTGGTCAAAGAGCAGTTGGATAGGTGTGTCTAATAAAGCAGACAGTCAGTGTAGGTCCTGCCGACGTGACACGACCATTTTACAAATTGACAGGTTTAGCTTCTGCAAAGGTTTTAGAACACTACTCAAACAGTAGTATATTTACTTTAATCTGATCTGGACGGGGTTCTGTCCTGAGCTGTGGCATAGCCAGACAATTTTCATTGGGGTGACCCGGCAGGGACTGGTTGTCAAAGGGTACCAGAACCAGTTTGGGATCAGTCTACACTGTACCAAGAGGAAAACAAACAAGCATGACATCGGCATTTTAAAAGTTAATCATTAAAGATGGCAAGATTTTCATAAAGCCCTTGGTAATAAACATAAACCCGGGCATACACTGTATGATATTTTCGATCTTTGCACTCAGCTAGAGCTCACACTGTAAGATGAAATTGCAGGGTTTTAAAGGTCACAGCTCACGATATATGTTCTTCCACTGTGCAGCCCAATGATGCAATCTAACTGCTTCCAATGCGCGTCCAAAAACCACATGCGTTTGTACATGCGCAGTACCTGATGTTCTTGTAAATTGGCTCGTAGATGCTCATAGCTCGAACACCTCATGAGGGCTGACTGAAATTCTAACATGTTTGATTTTGTTCCAACCTTATGATTCCCGATTGGGACGTGGTTGTCAGAGGCTAATCCCCCCTCGTTACTCTAGGTATTAGAGTGAAACTCAGCCCGATCCAAAAATTCTTGCCCTACTGGGGAATCGGGCAAAAACTTGTGGTGTTTCTCACCTGTATTTCGGGAAAGACATATACCTTTTATACTATACCTTTTATCTAATATTGTTGTCTGTAATATTAATATATACATACATGAATACATATGTTAAAAAGGTTTATTTGTCATTTGTCACTAATTACTTGTGAGACTTCTAAACAAGGGCGTAGGTTTGATCTCAACTTTGATAAGGACACTATTGGTCACTAAAGTTGAATTGGTCTGATGTCAGTGGTCCTGTGCATTATGCATGCTCCTATTTTTTTTATGCTTGACGTGAACGTCAGGGCGCATTTTGTTTAAAGAGAAAACCGCATTTTTTGTGAAATTTATACAAATCCTATAAGCACTAAACACACAAGATGCTGTGGGACAACTTAACACTTTGAAAAGGGTTACATTTGAACTTACCAGTGACTAAGACGGAAGGTAAATACGTGCCTTTTTAACCAAATATAGTCTAAATATGTCTGTTGTATGTGTATTTATCCTGTGTGTTTTTTTATTTTTTTTTAAGAAATAGAATTTTGCACAGGTAAACAGAGGTAAAACCCACTCTTATTTTTTTGATCTAATATGCTGATTTTCTCTGTAGTGTAAAACAAAGCAAAATAACATATTCAAGGGACTGCAAATAGATGTATTGTATTTACATGGGCGCGGGAACTATAAGAGGAACTGACACTTAGCATTTAAAATATTAACTGTATTGTAAATTATAAGCATGTTTTTCACGTAGAATTAATGGTAGGGACAAGTGGATCTTGCCCAAATTTTGGTAGGGACATGTCCCTATGGTCCCTGTGCAAACCTACGCCCATGCTTCTAAATGACTTACAGAGACATACCTTTCATTTTTTCCCACTGAACACAAAAGCTAGTTCAGAAAATAAAAGTTTGTGGTAGGCTTGTCCCGATCCGATCCACGTATCGGATCGGGACGCCGATATTGGCAAAAAAATGCGTATCGGCAAAGCATCTAAAATGCCGATCCAGACTGCCGATCCAGTTTTTAAAAAAAAATCCGGTCCGTATTTTCCAGTTTCGCCGATTGAAACGATCCATTCCACTATTTTGCGCCAGTGTTCCCCTGTTTTGCATTTTTATTAAAACTTACAGTAATACTTGCACCTTTAACTGTTTACAGTTTTACTGCTCACTGTGCAATTTCAGATTGCTATTCGTCATTTTGTCCAGTTTGTGTTTATCTCTTAATAAACAGGTAAGTTTGTTGTTACCAATCATTGTGTTTTATTCAATCTCACCTAATTTAGCTGGCTAGATGTTATCAAGAGTACTAAAACCCTTTTCAACATGAGCCTTACAACTAAGGCTAAATACTTTAACTTAAACTTAAATACATCCTCGGATAGGCTGGTATCGGCCAGTATCGGTATCGGATCGGAAGTCCAAAAACAATATCGGTATCGGATCGGAAGTGCAAAAACCTGGATCGGGACATCTCTAGTTTGTGGTTAAGACATTATTTTTGAATTTCAAAAATGATTAGGACATTCAGTTTAAGAGTACCATTGCTGCCACCTTCTGGTCAAGCTGTGAACTGCATGTTCCAGGTCGGGAATCAAGTCCACATGGGAACAACAAATCACCTGGTAGTAGTGGTTAAAATGGTGGTCATGGCCCCCCCTGGCCCCCCATCTAGCTGTACCCCTGGGCTGTTTTGTCTTATAAACCTCTTATCAAGTTTCCTTTGGATATTTTATATTATTGCAAGACAAGTTTGTACATAATTTTTAATCAATTATTTATTTAATTTTACCACCATTATGTCTCTTCTAGACTAATATGAGTTTTTTTTTATTTGACTCTATTGCAATAGCTTTTTGTCTAACAAAAACATTTTTTTTTTCAGAGATTTTTCATGCTTTTATCATTCTGTCTTTTAAATGTAATCAGCAATGTCAAATTTTATTTCACAGAAGCTTTCATTTGAAGACAGCTTTTTTTTCCCTTTGACGTCTGAATATAAAGATTTTTTGCAGGCGCTTTAATGTTTATAAATCAGCCATACTAACACCTGAGATTTAAAAATTGAATAATAATTAATTATAATATGAATGTAAATTTGAAGTTTGTTCTGCTTCTAAATATTGATAGTTTTTACTTTTTATATTCAAACACCAAATGATTTAATGGTTCAGAGTGTGTTGGATTGCAGCTGTTTTCTTCTGCCTTTCTGCTTTTTTTTATTTTTTTACATAATAAAATTCCTCTGAGAGGCTTTTTGCCGTTTGAACGAGGCTTCAAACATTTCTTTGTCTCTAAGAAACCAGGATATGTCAGGTGCCTATTACAGCCCCCTGCGGTGTCCCTGCTGAAAGCGTTTGACCTCACGTCTGCGGTCGGTTTCCACGGCTGAGAATATGTGGTTAAACTGAAAGCCTGTATCCCTTTGTCCATTTTCCATCTGCATTTCGAACCCACTTTTCTTAAGATGTCTGTCACTTTACCAAAGAAGAGCTGAAAGATTCCTCATAGAATCATAGGTTATATTATTTAGAACCGAAAGGAAGGGAAGAAAATAATAATAAAAAACCTCTTTCTGTGGGTAGTCTTTTGTCTGGACAGGACGATTGCTCTTCATTGCGGTTTAATGGCTTCAAAACAAACACTTGTGGTTTAACACCCTTCCTTCCGTCTGAATGTCATTTTCTGAATTGTAATAAATAAATTATTCATTCAAAGATTTCTGTAAATGTAAAGTTTCCAAGTAAACCAAATGTGTTTCAGCTTGTGTATCGTTGATACCCGCAGTTTGGCTCCAGTTTTTACATAAAGGTTTCATTTCTGGTGTTCTGATGCCTTTTTAACCCTTATTTGCAGGAGTTTGTGGACGTCAGCCCCCCGCAGAGGAACTGGAAGGGCATCGCCATCTCTCTCCTGGTTATAGTGGTGGTCTGCTCGCTCATCACCTTGTCTGTAGTCGTCCTAACGCCCAGTAAGCTAAAATCCACAGTGCATTGTTAGAAATGAGCCTTTTTACTTTCTTTTAAGCTTATGCACTTTGATATGCTGAGCTTTTTAGCAATAACTATGTGACTAGTAGGATTTGAACGTGCTTTTTGGCTTCCTAGGTGACGCTCTTGAAAGCAGCAAGTTCAAGCTGACGGTGGAGGACCTGTTTAAACCCGAGTTCCAGATTCACGACCCACAAGCCAGGTGGATTAATGGTGAGTCTGTGACCATTTTTAAGGCTTTTAAAAAGTCTGCAAAGCCAGATCAGACTTCTATCATATAATTTATATCCCTATATAAAGAATTTTCTTTTTCCAGGTGTGTTAGATGCATAATAGTCATTTCCTTCCCATTTTTTTTTCCTTAATAACTGCTACGCTACAATCTAATCTAATGACTCTTAATTACATCTACATAATTGATGTCTTCCCTTGTGTCCTAGTGTCCTACAAATGCACTGATCCAATACATGGATTTGATATGAGAGATTTTATATCATATATCGCGAGTCCAATCCAGTGCTCTTTACCTATAACTAACAGTTATTTCTTTCTTTTTGCTTTTTGGTTATATTTAGCCAATTCGCACAATAAACGTTATTTTTTTTTTATATAAATACACTTAATTTTGACTAAGTATGCTATATTATTTCTAAATATATAAACCTGGTATCTATGCATTTAATTTATGTAAGCTTTGTTAATAGAAATTAATTAATATGCAAAAGTAAAAGCGAATTGATGTAATAAAATTGCATAAATCTTGAATTTTGGGTGAAACATTTATGCGAGCGACTTGTGAAAATTCAGTTTGTATATTCCTTTAAAAACCTGAAGCTTCTTAGACTGGTATTTGTTATAATTTATTAAAAACCATTGGGTAGTTCTTCATCATTTTAGGGCTTCCAAATAGCCTTTTGCTGCAGGTTGCACAACTTCTGGTCTATAAGGATCAAAATGAGCCAACAGGAAAATGAACGAGCTCATCTATAACCATGCTAATAAAGCTACACGCATATTTATATATCTTTGCAGTTTAAATTAATTTATGGTTTTATGATATCTTTGTTAAATGAGTAAAAAAGATAATTATATTATTAAATGCATAGATGACTGCAGAGACCAACTCTTTTCCTTAAAACATAAAATTAAATTCTTAAAAGGCCAAGATTCTGGCAGTGTATTCTCATTATGAGTTCGTATGAAATCGTACAAAAAGTTATGCACCATAATTTCGTACGTTTTTGACGTTTTTTTTCGTCGTATTTCGTCGTATTTTTACGTCTTGCCTCGAGACAAGATATCCTTTTGCATGCGCATCTTATGCACCATTCAATAGCATAGAATTTAACATACAATTAACCCTAACCCTGACCCTAACCCTAAGATACAAAACAGCAAGCAACGTAGTTAGAGACATCAATAAGTAATCATTGCATTGTTTTTCCCAGTTTTACGTCCGGCCGCGGATCTGCTTTTTTCGTCTATCTGCTTTTTTCAAGTCTGTCTGCCTGCGCATGCGCACTGATCTGTTTTTTCGAGGAAGAACTTCAAAAACATAGGAAATACTGTGCATAACTTTTCATACAATTTCATACGAACTGATGAGAATATGTTGATTCTTGTGGCCATGGCTCCCTGACCCCCTCTTTAGCTCCTTCCTTGGTTGTTTGTCACAATAAATTAAATAAAACAGATTGAGTTTGACCAATTTTGGACACTGACACTAAAACAAATGATTTGGTAAGAACTTCTTACCTAATTATTTGGTTTTTACCAAGAAGAAACAAGCATTGTGATCATTTATCCTGTTTTAAGGCATAATTTGTAATTTTAGATGTTCAACTTTAAAATAAAAAGCTTAAATCAAGGAAATCAATCTTGCCGGATGAAAGGATCATTTGACTTCTTTTAAAAATATTTTCTGTTGGATTAAGTTTTTATTCTTTCCTCTTTTTTAGGCATCCCTTTTTTCTGCAGTGGCCATAATAATTCAATAATTTTGGACAAGGCCCTCGAGGATTATAGGAGAGGCTGCATTTGTGTTTTTATTAGCATGAAAACAAACGTAGCTACCGCTAAATTCACTGACCTTTCTTACCCTATTTTGCCTTCAAGGCCATTTCAACAACACCTCCTCATAGTTTTCACCTTGATCTATAACGGTTCTCGTCGCCTCGTCACACAAAGGGGGGAAGATTTCAAACGTTGCTCTTTGACAGCATGATAGATTGTGTTAATGTCAGAGATTTATTTATTTATTTGTTGTTGTTTTTTTAAGAAAAGGAACGGACAATAAGCAGAGGACGGTCTTAAAGAATGGCAGGGGGATTTTTTGATGACATGACGGTTAAATTACCGCCCTTTGTGGGGAATTCAGACGTGTTGATGACTAAATGTATCTCTAACACCTCTGTGGAGGTGCTGAGGGGACAGAAGGTGAGAGGAAGGGTGAAAAATGGCCTTGTTGTTTTGGTAGAGAAACAAAAGAAGCAGCGCCTGCCGAGATAATACTAATAACTACTTCTGTAGCCCGTGGCTTCTTATCGTTGAAAGCTGAGCTTCTGATGCACCATGGTGTGTTGGTAAACATATTTATGAGGACTAAATTTTGCTCAGATCCAACTCAACCCTTTGCAGCCTGGAATGTTGGATTTTCTATCTATTTTGCATCTATAACTTCATTTTAGGTTTTTTCTCCTTTTGAATGTTTTTTCTATTGGGTTTATGTTAGAATAGCTCTCGGTGTTTCTTTCATTAAGATATGGTTTCCTACGGCATATTAAATAATCTCTTTGCGCTCTTTTCGGACCAGTTATACAAAAAGCCACTTTACAAGAAAAACTGAACAAATCTAGGTAAACAGAAACTAGTTCAGTCCTTTGAATTTTACAGTTGGATCCAGTCTAGTTCTAGGAGCATCATAATTATGTGTATCAGCGGAATAAAAGGAGCAAATTTTATCTAGAAATGTTATTATATGGGGATGTTATGGGTTACAGCCCGTGACCCCTGTGACCCCAGAAAATGACAATTCAAGTAGGGCTGAAACAATCAGATTAATCATGATTAATTGATTATTGAAATAATTGTCAACTAATTTAGTAATCGATTAATCATTAACTAGAGTGTACAGACTGTTAAAAATGCTTTTTAGCTGACAGAGCAACCCACACAGTAATTATACCAAGATTGTAAAAAATATATCAACATTTTGCATTTAAGATAAAAGCAATCTTTTTCATCTGTCAATACGGTCTATCCACAACTCCTCAAAAGTTTTAGTTTAACCTGGTTTGATTTCGTGAAAAGTCTTCTTTAAGGGACCTCTTGCTATCTGATTTATTCTTAATTGATTGAAAAATAATCGACAGATTAATCAATTGGTGAAATAGTCGTTAGCTGCAGCCCTAAATTCCACAGATTTGGAACCTCCAACCAAATACATACAGTTACTTCACTAGGTATCCTTTTCATATGAATAAAAATATTTGCATTTTATTTTATATTATTATTATATTTATTTATGTATGCATTTTCTCATTATTTATTGATCTATTTAATATCTGATTCACGGTTTAAATAAATACATTTGTGCCCTCCATATCCACTTGTTCTTGAAGATTTACCTTGCCATTTACCATGCCATTAAAGAAAACTATATTTAAATTAATAAGAAATAATTGTCATGATGCAGGACAGAAGGACCCAGTATTCAAGACTAAACAGTGGGATAACTCAAAACGTTTATTGAAAACAGTAGCGGACTGTGGATCCGGGGGACCAGCAGTTAGGGCGGGGCGCCGCCTATCACTGAGAACTCTGGTTTAACAGTTCAGTCCATTTCCATAGAATGCCATACCATGCAGCTGGTGGGCTGCCTACAAGATGCGGCAAGTGCTGCCCAGAGTGTCCCAGATGCTTCAGCCCTGGAGAACATGCAGGGGTCGAAGCCAGGTCAAGGAAACAGATCACAACAGGAAGGCTCAGAGGTCCGGCAGTCAAAAGCCAGGTCAGAACAGGATCAGGCTGGTTCAGGGTTCCAGGAGTCCACAGACAGTTCAGGCAGAGCATTCAGGTAGGAACAGGCACGCTCAGTGGATGAGAGGCAAATCAGGAAATCAGAAACACTACCGAACACTTAAAATACGCTCTCTTCACAGAGATCAGACAGGAACAGACACACTCAGTGGATGAGAGGCAGATCAGGATCAGGAAATCAGGAACGCTAAAAACCGTCTCTCCACTGGCCCCTGAAAACAACAACTAGAGCAAGAGCAATAATCTGGCCCTGATGGCTGGGACTAAGCCGTATAAATAAAAGCAGGAGCAGGTGGATTAAATAGCATTAATGAGCAACCGGACAGACTAAAACAGGTGAATAGAGAAAGCAATTAGGCCTGCTATCAGTGCCAGGATCATGACAATAATAATATAATAAATGGTGATTTGGTAAAATAAATATATTTATAATATATTATTCTGAATTTTTGTATAAAAAAATATATAAAAATACAAACTTTCCCAGACAAATTAATGAACCTTCCTCCTGAACATAAGAAAAACACCAGATTTCACTGATTGCCTCAAAGTGTTACTCAACAAAATGTAGGAGCTCCATCAGGCTTGTTTGCGTGTCTTACTTAATAATATATTCAAAATCAATATCTTGCTTTCCATTTTTAAAAACATTTTTATTTATTTATGATTACTTTTGTTCATTTCATTTTTTTTAAATCGCTGATGATTTTCTGCCTTTAACGGAACGGTAGATACAAAAAATCATCTTGTGACCCCTTATTTGGTGTTTCGTGACCTCCTGCGAGTTCCACTTTGTAACCCCTGGTTTAAGGGGGTCATGAGGAAGACTGCTGATGTGGATAGGTGTCGTTTTAACCACAAATGGTTGCTAATAATACTCACTGCTCACAGTTTGCCATATTCAAGCACACTGGAGGGAAGTTAAGTGAAAGGAAAATCTCTTGTAAAGAATGGTGCTTATTATTTACGGTTATTGGAAAACGTACAATTCAAGTTCTCTAAAAATAAAGAACTTTTAAATAATGATCAGGGGAACATTGCAGCTTTCAGCAGACGGTCTGTATCCAAGCAGTTTTATGGAATGTTAGGTTGAAGGGAAAACCTCTGGTTAAAATGTGTAAAAGCAGCGTTTTAAAAATTATTCATTTAAATGTTGTCTGTTTTTCTTTTAGCAA